CTACCCTGGCGTTACAAGCGCCATGCTCTACCAATTGAGCTACAGAGGACCACTTACAACCTGGAATTAAAATAGATTTTTGGGGTGTTTGTGTCATTTGATTTACACAACATGCCTACCACTTTGAAGATGCAAAATATTTGTTCTTGTAAAACAAACAAGAAATAAGACAAAAAAACAGAAAACTTGAGTGTGCATAACTATTCACCCCCCCCAAAGTTAATACTTTGTAGAGCCACCTTTTGCAGCAATTACAGCTGCAAGTCTCTTGGGGTATGTCTCTATAAGGTTGGCACGTCTAGCCACTGGGATCTTTGCCCATTCTTCAAGGCAAAACTGCTCCAGCTCCTTCAAGTTGGATGGGTTCCGCTGGTGTACAGCAATCTTTAAGTCATACCACAGATTCTCAATTGGATTGAGGTCTGGGCTTTGACTAGGCCATTCCAAGACATTTAAATGTTTCCCCTTAAACCACTTGTGTGTTCCTTTAGCAGTATGCTTAGGGTCATTGTCCTGCTGAAAGGTGAACCTCCGTCCCAGTCTCAAAACTCCAGAAGACTGAAACAGGTTTCCCTCAAAAATGTCCCTGTATTTAGCGCCATCCATCATTCCTTAAATTCTGACCAGTTTTCCAGTCCCTGCCGATGAAAAACTTTTGGCGAACATCAAACGTGTTTGCTTATTTTTTTCTTTAAGCAATGGCCTTTTTCTGGCCACTCTTCCGTAAAGCCCAGCTCTGTGGAGTGTACGGCTTAAAGTGGTCCTATGGACAGATACTCCAATCTCCGCTGTGGAGCTTTGCAGCTCCTTCAGGGTTATCTTTGGTCTCTGTTGCCTTTCTGATTAATGCCCTCCTTGCCTGGTCCGTGAGTTTTGGTGGGCGGCCCTCTCTTGGCAGGTTTGTTGTGGTGCCATATTCTTTCCATTTTTTAATAATGGATTTAATGGTGCTCCATGGGTTGTTCAAAGTTTCAGATATTTTTTTAGAAACCAACCCTGATCTGTACTTCTCCACAACTTTGTCCCTGACCTGTTTGGAGAGCTCCTTGGTCTTCATGGTGGCGCTTGCTTGGTGGTGCCCCCTTGCTTAGTGGTGTTGGAGGCTCTGGGGCCTTTCAGAACAGGTGTATATATACTGAGATCATGTGACAGATCATGTGACACTTAGATTGCACACAGGTGGACTTTATTTAACTAATTATGTGACTTCTGAATTGGATGCACCAGATCTTATTTAGGGGCTTCATAGCAAAGGGGGTGAATACATATGCACACACCACTTTCTGTTATTTATTTTTTAGAATTTCACTTCACCAATTTGGACCATTTTGTGTATGTCCATTACATGAAATAAAAATCCATTTAAATTACAGGTTGTAATGCAACAAAATAGGAAAAACGCCAAGGGGGATGAATACTTTTGCAAGGCACTGTACCTATATGGTGCCAGGACTTGGGAGACTTGCAAGATGATGTGATGGAGTCCAGACTGACAGGGGCTTGATGTTAATGTCTCTGAATGGAGAGAGACCTTGCACTCAGCAATACAATTATACAAGACACGTCTATTACTTTTTAGTGTATTTTGTTATTATTGAATGAAATGGTACTATCAATGAGGGGGGATATGGGACACCATACAGGAAGGTATGATGACTGACATATTTGGCAAGGTATCCCCAGCACCACCAGACAAAATGTTGATAGTTACAGTATCTGTATCAGCTGTGAATGACAATACAAGATGAAAGACAAGTGTAATATTTGCACATTGTTATATCAGCAGAACACTGCTTCTACAGTATGATGTGAAGGATGGTTTATTCTACATGGAACTGTTACACTTGAAAGTGATCAAAACACTTTGGTTAGAATGTCTACATAAGTTCAGCACATTCTTCTTATACTACTCTGTAGTTTAGGTTACTCAGTATGAGAAGAGGGCCATCCTCCTGCATCTCACATTTGCCTGTAGTTATTGAACTCTGCGTGCTGGACCCATGAGGCAAACTCTGTCATATCCAGGATGGAGTGTCATGTACTTCACCCCTACTGCCACCCGACTGCACATGTCAATAACCTGTAATATATTACATAGATGGAAGGGACTTCACTTCATCACCCACTGGAGACTTGAAGACAGAACCGCGCACAGAGAGCTGTGTATGTCAGTGTGTTAGACAGACAAATCCTTAGATTTGGGCAAATAGACCATATAAATAGAAATGCCATTCTAGTTCTAGCTGAAGTTGTACTCTACACACAACTGATTTGTTAGGTAAAGTGTAGGCATACTTTCTTTATGAGCACATCAATATGATATTTACAGCAGAAAATGTTTTGTCTTTGTAACACGAACAAATCAATCAATTTCTTTGTTGATGTATCTACATTCAAGTTGGGCGATGTTTGTGCAATGTCCACATGTAGCCTACACTTGTAGGGATATTAGTTCTGGGATTTGTCTCCCGGGAAAGATCTAACAGCGGACATAAGGAGAGACAAGACAAAACTAGCCAGTTATAGAATATTGTGTTGTAGGACCTACAAGCTTTCACAGTCTCACATCAGAATTAGACGTTCATCCATGTTTCTCAAATGTCAAATTTCAAAGTTGGTCCAAACATTACATTTCAAAGTGTTTAAGGTTACGTTTAGGCATTAACTCCGAATTTTTAAGGTTAGGGTTAAGTTTAGGCATTAATTCAGAATTCTTAACGGTTAAGAAAAGGGTTAAGGTTTGGGATAGGCTTGCAACAAAAATATCAAAAACAACTTTCTATCGCTGGATTCAAACATGCAACCTTTGCAATCAGAGGCAGATGCTAACTATCATCCACCACCCACCATCCTTTCCACCTCATGTAATACCTGATTTACTTACAAGAGGCAAATCTCAATAGGTGGTCCAGGTAAGTCATGACATAGCACAATTGGGGGCTTTCCTCTTTTGTTCTCTATTGTTCCTCAAGCAAGATGACATAACAGATTCCCATCAGACCAACACCTTGAATGCCTAAAAAGTTTTTAAATGATTTCTTACCCTTTATTTATAGTTGGGATATCGCTTTTCAGTAAAAGTAAAAGTTCAGACATCGCTGGAGGACGTCTTGCATTTGGAGGACGTTGCATTTGCCATTTTAATGCATGTAAAGACAATATTAAAAAACAAGATAAGATTGCTTTATGTTGGTTTAATTTAATTTAATGAAATCAAAGGCATGTTTATGAGTGTTATAGCTCAATCGAAATGCATGTATCTTATTCATAAAGACAACATTGAAGCAACTCATAGAGAAGATTACTTTGAGGTTTACTTTAATTAAGTCAAAGCCATAGTTATGATAATGTTGGAGCACAATCCTTTGTACAACAAACGTATTCACACACTAACTATAGAAATTGATTTATAATACAATACATATTCACCGCGATTAGAATAAAATGTTGGTCTTTGTGCAACATTTACACAAAATAGCAATGAACAATAATATATACAAGGATGTACAGTAATGTAAAAGAATGGACAATACCTGTGAAATAAATACAAATCAAACAGGAGTCCAAACCACTTAACAGCTTCTACCCCCAAGCCATAAGACTCCTGAACAGCTAGTCATGGCTACCCAGACTATTTGTATTGCCCCCCCACCCCAACCCCCTTTTTTACGCTGCTGCTACTCTGTTTATTATTTATGCATAGTCGCTTTAACTCTACCCACATGTACATATTACCTCAATTACCTCAACTAACCAGGGTCCCCGCACATTGACTCTGTACCGGTAGCCCCTGTATATAACCTCCCTACTGTTATTTTATTTTACTGCAAGTTTTTTTTTACTGTAAGTATTTTACTTACTTTTATTTAATTTTTACTTATCTTTTTTTTACTTAACAGTTTTTTTCTTAAAAACTGCATTGTTGGTTAAGGGCTTGTAAGTAAACATTTCACTGTAATGTCTACACCTGTTGTATTCGGCGCATGTGGCAAATAAAATTTGATTTGATTTTAAATAGATTTTCAGCTCCTATTTATTTGTGTGTGTGTCTGTGTGTGTCTGTGTGTGTGTCTTTAGAGTCACTTCCCCTTCTTCACTATCCATCTCTACTTTTCAGTCTCATAAAAGGCAGACTGTTGGAGCTCCCGCCAATGCCCTGTTCCAGGGACAGGGAAAACACTTTGGCTAGGCAGTAGATCTTTTCCTGCCACTCAAGGAAAGCCGGTATGTGTGTGACGGCTGTTGGGGCCTTGTTTCAGCGGCTGGTGGCAGAACCTGTACAGACGGCCGGAGGGATGCTGCTCTGAGGATCTTCTCTTTCCTCAGTTCGCTCCTTCCTCACTGCCTCCCTCTGCTTCGAGGCCTCCAGCTCCCATTGAAAGAAGGCAGTGGCAGCAATATCCTCAAATGGCATCCTTGAATTGGCGAGTTGGTGATGTGTAAGTGCAGGTGACAGGGTATGTGACTGGGACACTAACCGTTTCGCTCTCTGCAGTAACATAATGCCACAGCTGGGTGTCTCTAGGAGTTTATCTGGGCTGGTGTTAAGAGCAAAGCAGATTCACCCACTTCAGGATCTCTTCCTCCCCGTGGTGCTTGGCCAGTAGGACATCACTGGCAGCTCTAATGGGCTCTGTCCATCGGCCGTGGTTCAAGATGAAGAGGCAACCTCATCTCTTGTTGGGCCTAGTAGAGAAGCTGTCAAGGGCTGTGGTGGTGTGGCTGGCAGATCTGAAAGAGAGGCAAAATATAATTTTAATGACAAAGCCTTTACTATACACTAACCTAAATCAAGTGTGTGCTTGTGTGTGTGTGTGTGTGTGTGTGTGTGTGTGTGTGTGTGTGTGTGTGTGTGTGTGTGTGTGTGTGTGTGTGTGTGTGTGTGTGTGTTTGAGACAGAATGAGTTAGTGCCTGCACACATAAGTATGTGTGTGATATCATTTAAATTACCTGTATCCAGCAGGAACTCCTCAGAGGAATCCTCTTTTGTTGTGGCAGGAGCTGGTGCCAAAGGGGAGCGGAGCAGGACAGCCTGGGGAGAGGACCACTGTTAGAGCTGGGCCTGCGCTGCTGGGGCCGGATCGGTCTCAGCAGAGAGGAGAGCCAGAAGGTCATGCATGTCCTTTCCTGAAATAGAGGCCCAATTACCTTAAATGAGAATAATCATAAAGCTAAACTATGTGAGTGAGCGAGTGTGTGATTGAGAGGTGGAGAGTGAACTGTGTGATCATGTCAATGTGCTGTTTCTTTTTTGTTGCATTCAGTCACTAAATGCACAATATGAGCTTTTCCCGACTGCACAGTGTACTCGTCCTGGCAATCCCTGATGTGTGTGTGTTCATATGACACAGATGTTTGTCAAGCTGACCAGAGTTCTTGTAGTAGAACATTCAATGATTAGCTTTGGCATCAACTACTATCAACAGTGTACAGTAAAAAGGATATCAAACATTCAGATCTGTATTGACATAGGCTTAATCATGTGAAGTTACAAAACCTCTAGGACTTAGTCATCACTCAAGTTTAACAACGGATGTAGGTTACATTGTTAGTGTGTACGCACCTCTCGACCGTTGCGATACGTTTTATTTGGCACAACCGTTGTTGACAAATGTATTACATATCCGTTTCTTCCACCTGTGTGTGGACTAAGCCTGTTCATGCTACAATTTATGTCAGTCACTCTAAATCTAAATATGAACTTGAGTGATCTTAATTTTACTCAATACTAAGTCATATTTAAGCCAGGAATCATCAACTATACTGAACAAAAATATAAATGCAATATGTAAAGAGTTGGTCCCATGTTTCATGGAAATAAAATATCCCAGAAATGTTCCATATGCACAAAAAGCTTTCTTCTTTCACATTTTGTGCACAAATTTGTTTACATCCCTGTTAGTGAGCATTTCTCCTTTGCAAAGATAATCCATCCACCAGACAGGTGTGGCATATCGAGAAGCTGATTAAACAGCATGATCATTACACAGGTGCACCTTGTGCTGGGGACAATAAAAAGCCACTCTAAAATGTGCAGTTTTGTCACACAACACAATGCCACAGATGTCTGAAGTTTTGAGGGAGCGTGCAATTGACATGCTGACTGCAGGAATGTCCACCAGAGCTGTTGCCAGATAATTTAATGTTCATTTCTCTACCATAAGCCGCCTCCAACGTCGTTTTAGAGAATTTGGCAGTATGTCCATCCGGCCTCACAACCATAGACCACATTTAACCATGCCAGCCCAGGACCTCAACATCCGCCTTCTTCACCTGCGGGATCGTCTGAGACCAGCCACCCAGAGAGCTGATGAAACTGAGGAGTATTTCTGTCTGTAAAAAATCCCTTTTGTTGAGAAAAAGTCATTCTAATAGGCTGGGCCTGGCTCCCCAGTGGGTGGGCCTGACTCCCAAGTGGGTGGGCCTATGCCCACCCATGGCTGCGCCCCTGCCCAATCATGTGAAATCCATAGATTAGGTGCTAATTAATTTATTTCAATTGACTGTAACTCAGTAAAATCGTTGAAATTGTTGCATGTTATGTTTATATTTTTGTTCAGTATAGATTCAGCCACAGGGCCAATTTTTTATTGAGTGGATGGTTGGTGGGCCGGAACATAATTACAAATAATTTGTAGACTGCAAATTGAACGCAAGAAGCCCAAACAGATATAATGTTTGACTAAAACATAATAATTTCAAACCTTGCTCACATTTGTAAACGATCACGTGTCTCTCTATTATGGGTGGGAATACTTGGAAACAGATTTTTTTAATTAAATTCAGTTGGAGCTTATTTCTTGGTATTTTTACAGTATTTTATGTCCAACAATAAAAATCCCACACCAAAAAAAGATTTTGTAAGAAAATGTGGGGGTCCAAATAAAACCACCGGCTATACCCACACCGTATCTGTGTGCTGTTGGCTAGAGCAGAGGTGCCAATAACGGAGTGGGCACAATAGCTATATAACGCAATTTTTTTGTGACAAAAACATCAGTAGAGTTGAAAATACAATGGAAACCCATTTAACTTGTATTTTTTAATCTGTACATGGGAATTTAAACGCAAGATCCCGGCCATCATCTTACTCTACATAGACAAAATATGATGTTTATGAGTTGTGAGTCCCCCTACCATCAGATTTCAAATATGTGATTAAGGTGGCAAAATTGGGAATAAGTGGAATAATAAAATAAGTGTGGGGAATAACAGTAGTGTTCTTGCTGACAAGCACAGTAATTACCCTATATTTTAGCTCATTGTTAAGAATTAGAATTGTTCCACTGATCAGACTAAATAAAGTAAATACATAATAAAAATATGTCCTCAGTGGTGGAAAAAGTACCCAATTGTCATACCTGAGTAAAAGTTAAAATACCTTAATAGAAAATGACTAAAGTAACAGTGAAAGTCACCCAGTAAAATACTACTTGAGTAAGTCTAAAAGTATAAAAAGTATTTGGTTTAAAATATAATAATAAGCCATTTAGCAGACGCTTTTATCCAAAGCGACTTACAGTCATGTGCGCATACATTTTTACGTATGGGTGGTCCCGGGGATCGAACCCACTACCCTGGCGTTACAAGCGCCATGCTCTACCAATTGAGCTACAGAGGACCACATATACTTAAGTATTTAAACTAACTGTAATTGCTAAAATGTACTTAAGTATCAAAAGTAAAAGTATAAATCATATGAAATTCCTTATATTAGGCAAACCAGACAACACGGTTTTCTTTTTTTACGGATAGCCAGGGGCACACTCCAACACTCAGACATAATTTACAAACGAAGCATTTGTGTTTAATGAGTCCGCCAGATCAGATGCAGTAGGGATGACCAGGGATTTTTTCTTGGTAAATGCTTGAATTGGACAAGTTTCCTGCTTCAAAATGTAACAAGTACTTTTGGGTGTCAGGGCAAATGTATGGAGTAGAAAGTATATTATTTTCTTTAGGAATGTAGTGGAGTAACAGTAAAAGTTGTCCAAAATATAAATAGTAAAGTAAAGTACAGATACCCCAAAAAACGACTGGGGACATTAAGTAGTACTTGAAAATATTTTTACTTAAGTACTTTACACCACTTTCTGTCCCTACACTCTAACCAAATAATTGTTACATTTATTGTCCCCCCTCTAGAATCAAACGTACACTTTTGGGTTAACAATCTGTTAGACAAAATTATTTTCATAGTTACAAATCAGGTCACCCTACCAAACTTCCCTCCTAAAACATCCTGTAGGTCTCTGTCTGCTGCCTTTTCGTTATCACCGCCTAAATGCCAATCACCAAACGAGAGGACTAATGTAAGTGTGGATTAAATCGACTTTAGTACATGCTGTCAAAAGGCTGCATTCTGCAAAAGGGACGGGAGTAACAGCAACCAAATTTTATTGACAACATTTTACATAAAAACAGCGCTACCGTGATACTCTTTTTACAGTTCTATAAACTCAGCTGAGAAAGTTATCTCTCTCCATTCAGATCCACTCTAATCTTGAGGGGAGTTTCTTTAAAATATGCATCCAATCCCCTTGAACCCTTATGTAACTAGACCAATCATATGCTTCAATGTGCCGCGGTTCACGGTGCTGTGGCAGGACAGAACAATGATAAAGGTTCATCTCGTGATGTTAAATTGAAGGTGCAGATGCTTCTATTTCAAAGCGATATGGAGCACCGTTGAAAAGTTAACGCGCTGATTATACAATGGACTAATTAGAAAAATTAAAGAAGTACTTTTCAATGCGTGAGATATAAGAGAAGAGGGTCAAATGGTTGTGTCTCATGGCCAATGCGTGAGAGTAGGCAGCTCTGGCTAATCTTTTGAATACGGTCTAGTAAAAAATAAATTACAGCAACAACAGATAACATTAGCTAGCTAGATAAGGTTAGCAGCATGCTAGCTAGCTACACTGACAACTGTTAGTGCCCTATTTATTGATGTTTATCAACTGCACATGGAAATGAGCTGGGAAATTCCTCTTTTGAACGCGGCATTAAAAGCACCAATATAAGTAGCCTTTGTCATTCTTCGGAGGTGGAATCTAAAAGTGCATTTCCTCCCGTTGAAATAGTGATGGCAACTTGACGCTAATATTTATGTAAACTCTTTGGAATTGTGAACTGTGGTTGTCACTGAGTAGGCTACCCATTCCATTGGGTGCACACTCCCATAGGTAAGGCTGTACAGTCCAATATGAATGTTCCATACACACAATAGGTGAGCTAATGTGGCTTATTTCACAGTGGCTTCAGTCCTGCAATAAGAGCTATGACGCTAATATTGGTGTAAACTACGTAGTTGTGTTCTGTGGGTGTCACTAGGTAGACTGATACCCCATTCCATGGGTGCACACTATATAGGTAAGGCTTTACAGTCCAATATGAATGTTCAATATGCACAATAGTTTGACTGGTGAGCTGTGGCTCATTTCACAGTGGTGTCAGAGTCGTTCAATAAGAGCTATGATGATAAAATTTGCGTAAACTACATAGTTGTGTGCTGTGGATGTCACTGAGTAGGCTGGTACCCCATTTCATGGGTGCACACTCTATAGGTAAGGCTGTACAGTGCATATGCCCCCAATGCAAGTATGCAGTCTAATACATCCACAGTGGGATCTGAAGAGTTTTTGGAATTATTCCAGTATTTGTAGCTGTTTGAATCAGTTTCAATGACGGGCTTTTATTTTGAAGGCAAATTCCACTATTGTGGCTAATCCTTATTGTGGCTAGCTTCACAGATAGTCGTATGAGTTCTACAATAGGGAAGGGCATGGTAGCATGGACTGGAGTTTGACAGGTAAGATCCACAACGCCGGGCTGAATATCGGGAACCAAACTTTGTGATTGTCAGGCCAGGTCTGGACAATTTGCCGTCAGTTTTGTGTCCAATAGCCTACTCCGTTTATAATTGGTTATTGATGTTGAAATTAATTGAGCGTCTCCGGTTGAGGTTTTTCGTGAAGAGTTTACCGTGTTGCGCAATCTCAAGTTGGTAACGTTTATTTTAAATGAGTTCACTCGTCAGCCAAGATAGATTTGTATTAGACTATAATTTAATGCGCCTTGGATTTGTTGATAGTAGGACTACTTTAGCCCAATATTAGTAGGCCTACTTTAGCCCAATACTATACTGAACAAAAATATAAAAGTAACAATTAACGATTTTACTGAGTTACAGTTCATATAAGGAAATCAGTCAATTGAAATAAATTCATTAGGCCCTAATCTATGGATTTCACATGACTGAGCAGGGGTGCAGCCATGGCCCACCCACTGGGGAGCAAGGCCCACCCACTGGGGAACCAGGCCCAGCCAATCAGAATGAGTTTTCCCCCCACAAAAGGGCTTCATTACAGGCAGAAATACTCATCAGTTTCATCAGCTGTCCGGGTGGCTGGTCTCAGGTGATCCCGGGGGGGAAGAAGCTGGATGTGGAGGTCCTGGGCTGGCTTGGTTACACATGGTCTGCGGTTGTGAGGCTGGTTGGACATACTGCCAAATTCTCTTAAACGACGTTGGTGGTAGCTTATGGTAGAGAAATTAACATTTAATTCTCTGGCAACAGCGCTGGTGGACATTCCTGCAGTCAACATGCCAATTGCATGCTCCCTCAACTTGAGACATCTGTGGCTTTGTTGTGTGACAAAACTGCACATTTTAGAGTGGCCTTTTATTGCCTTTTAATGATCGTGCTGTTTAATCCGCTTCTTGATATGCCACACCTTTCAGGTAGATTAATTATCTTGGCAAAGGAGAAATGCTCACTAACAGGGATGTAAACAAATTTGTGCACAAAATCTGAGAGAAGTAAGCTTTTTGTGCGTATGGAACATTCCTGGAATCTTTGATTTCACCTCATGAAACATGGGACCAACACCTTACATGTTGCGTTCATATTTTTCTTCAGTATTGTAGGCCTACTTTAGCCCAATATTAGTAGGCCTACTTCAGCTCACTTTGCGTTTTTGATCTAATAGATTACACATTCTATGTTATTCATATATTTGTTTCATTCTGCTTTACGTAGTCAAACACCTGATGTGAGCCCATGTTCTGCATTTTTCTAAAAAATCTGAGTGGTATCATTTTCCACCCTCTAGCCTATAGTTAAAGGGATAGTTCACCCAAATAACAAAATTACCAAAATGGTTTCCTTACCCTGTAAGCAGTCTATGGACAAGGTATGACAGAGATCCATGCTTTGGTTTTGTTTACCTTGCCGCTGTCTCCAAAAGCTACATTTTCTTTAAGACATTTGTGGCACAAAGCCAATGCAAGTCAATATCTCTGATATTAGCATTTTTCACATGTCATATGCAAAGCATCGTAGCATTGATCAAAGCATGGATTTCATTTGTGTATCACCTTGTCCATAGACTGCTTACACGGTAAGGAAACCAATATACACTGCTCAAAAAAATAAAGGGAACACTTAAACAACACAATGTAACTAAGTCAATCACACTTCTGTGAAATCAAACTGTCCACTTAGCAAGACACCCCCAATAAAGTACTGGTTTTGCAGGTGGTGACCACAGACCACTTCTCAGTTCCTATGCTTCCTGGCTGATGTTTTGGTCACTTTTGAATGCTGGCGGTGCTTTCACTCTAGTGGTAGCATGAGACGGAGTCTACAACCCACACAAGTGGCTCAGGTAGTGCAGCTCATCCAGGATGGCACATCAATGCGAGCTGTGGCAAGAAGGTTTGCTGTGTCTGTCAGCGTAGTGTCCAGTGCATGGAGGCGCTACCAGGAGACAGGCCAGTACATCAGGAGACGTGGAGGAGGCCGTAGGAGGGCAACAACCCAGCAGCAGGACTGCTACCTCCGCCTTTGTGCAAGGAGGAGCAGGAGGAGCACTGCCAGAGCCCTGCAAAATGACTTCCAGCAGGCCACAAATGTGCATGTGTCTGCTCAAACGGTCAGAAACAGACTCCATGAGGGTGGTATGAGGGCCCGACATCCACAGGTGGGGGTTGTGCTTACAGCCCAACACCGTGCAGGACGTTTGGCATTTGCCAGAGAACACCAAGATTGGCAAATTCGCCACTGGCGCCCTGTGCTCTTCACAGATGAAAGCAGGTTCACACTGAGCACATGTGACAGACGTGACAGAGTCTGGAGACGCCGTGGAGAACGTTCTGCTGCCTGCAACATCCTCCAGCATGACCGGTTTGGCGGTGGGTCAGTCAGGGTGTGGGGTGGCATTTCTTTGGGAGGCCGCACAGCCCTCCATGTGCTCGCCAGAGGTAGCCTGACTGCCATTAGGTACCGAGATGAGATCCTCAGACCCCTTGTGAGACCATATGTTGGTGCGGTTGGCCCTGGGTTCCTCCTAATGCAAGACAATGCTAGACCTCATGTAGCTGGAGTGTGTCAGCAGTTCCTGCAAGAGGAAGGCATTGATGCTATGGACTGGCCCGCCCGTTCCCCAGACCTGAATCCAGGAGCATGCCCAGGCGTTGTAGGGAGGTCATACAGGCACGTGGAGGCCACACACACTACTGAGCCTCATTTTGACTTGTTTTAAGGACATTACATCAAAGTTGGATCAGCCTGTAGTGTGGTTTTCCACTTTAATTTTGAGGGTGACTCCATGGGTTGAGGGTGACTCCATGGGTTGATAAATTTGATTTCCATTGATAATTTTTGTGTGATTTTGTTGTCAGCACATTCAACTATGTAAAGAAAAAAGTATTTAATAAGATTATTTCATTCATTCAGATCTAGGATGTGTTATTTTAGTGTTCCCTTTATTTTTTTGAGCAGTGTATAATTTGGGTGAACTATATCTTTAACTGTAGCAATTGAGGTAGTACTCTCAGATATTGAACCAGCAACATCCTGAGCTTCTGTGCCATAAAAGTCCAGGCATCATGACAGACTTGGCTATAGTACACTTCCATACAGAGAGGGTACTCTGACACCCATGGTTCAATGTTGTGTGTTTATGTCCCCATCTTCCATAGCAAGCTTATGTGTAGCCTATGCTATTACAGCTATCAATCTCCTCTTGTTGTTTCTGCAGGGTGACATACTGTCTGTAGCGATGGAGGATTTTTGGGTGGTGGTCCTGGCATGTCTGAAGGTGTGGGTCTACCTCATTGTGGCTCTTCTCATGGTGCCCGCAATGTTTGGCTTCTCCCTGGGCATCTCTGAGACATACATGAAGATCCTGGTCAAAACACTGGAGGTAAACTGCCTCTGTTCAGAACTCTGTAAAAGCTGGTAAACTGCATCACTCGGACAACATGAGGGGCACAGCTTCATGCGTCTATAGTTGTTTTAAATGTTGGCTATTCATCATGCCCTAAATGTAAGACTTGTGTCCTTAATGTATGTATTTATACTACAACATTAGTGAGGGAGAAAAAATCGATAGTTTCATATCGGGATATTAGTTTCTTTGACTCGCAATATTATTTTGAGCTGGTGGGCTGTACCTGCACCAAAACTTCAGTGTTTTTCCTTCATAGCTTGTTCTCCATCTTCTTCTATATGGAGCCAATTTGTTTTCAGCACTTTTATTTCCACGACTGATCAAAACTTGTTTTCTCATGGCTCTCTCTTGTCCCTCTGCAGCAGACATATGGTGAGCAATATGTTTGGAACATCGAATCGCAATAAAATCACAGTATCGAATCGCAATACATATAGTATCGTGAGAATTGCAATACATTAGTATTGGCACCTATGTATCATGACAATATCGTATTGTGAGGTCCCTGGTAATTCCCAGCCCTACAAAATATAATAATATTGTACACAAAACACAAATTAATGACTTGGCCAGTGGGCTAGCCATGGTCTTTCTTTACATTGGAGATTGTATCAGTTTCTGGAATGCTGGAACTCAATCCCGTTTTCTTACTTATGTTTATGATCAAGAAATACATTGTCACTGCACTGTCATGATCAGCCCACCTAAACATGTTTAATGTGTAGGGAAAGTCTACACTACACAACGATCAATTAGCACAACTCTGCACATGTGCCTTAGGTATAGAACTGACATAATTTTTTACAGAAAAGCATGTATGTTCTACACCGTACTTTTCCATCTGAACATTCTGTAACCCTGTGGCCTCCTGAATAATAATAATAATAATAATAACCTTTCAAACACTGTCCAGGGGCTTATCTGGGGTGAGAGTTTAGGGATGAATATGTGTATGTCCTTTCTCTCCTGTCCTGCTGTGGGTCAGGGGGTGAGAGGTCAAAGGCTAAAGATAATTCTAATCTCTCCTGTTCTCCAGTGGGCCACGTTGAGGATCCAGAAAGTCAACAAAGAGCAGCGTATAATCAAATCCTCATCCAACGGTGAGTCAATGAGCAGAGCTCTCACAGTGATCAATGGATTCATTTTCTTGATCGATTGATGGATGGATGGGTGGATAGAGATTGATTTACTCATTGGTCTCTGAGATAAGGAAATGATCGTGGGGATTCCCTAAAGTTGCATGGTTGATATTTTAGGCTTACAAGTCTGGCCAATGTGTGGGAAAGAGAAACCTCAATGTTTTCAGTGAGTCCCTTTACCCTTGAGAAACTCATAAAGAAACATATTATACAGTATGTTGTTCTCTGTTTCAGTTCAGTCTTTTCCTCTCTCTCAACGACACTGGTTCCCAAAGCCACTGTTGTTTGTCTGCTGCATTCAGAATCTCATTTACATGTAAAGTGCCTTAGAAAAAATCCTGTATCTTAGTGTACCATAGTAGTTAAACAGGATTTTCCTCTGTTGAGTGCATTGAAATCAGGCCTGACATGATATTTTTAGTCAGCTGTCAATGGTTGAAATACTGTAAATTGATAATAGGTTGCATTTATAATATAGGTATTTTCAATGTGCTCAAGGCACGTTAGATGGTATGGGATGGGGTAACCTATATGAAATTATAAACTGGATGGTTTAAGCCCTGAATGCTGATTGGCTGACATTGGTATACCACGGGTATGACAAAACATTAATTCTTACTGCTCTAATTATGTTGGTAACCAGTTTATAATAGCAATAAGGCACCTCGGGGGTTTGTGGTATATGATCAATATACCACGGCTAAGGGCTGTATCCAGGCCCTCCGCGTTGTGTTGTGCCTAAGAACAGCCCTTAGTCGTGGTATATTGGCCATATACCACACCCCCTCGGGCCTTATTGCTTAATTATACCACTGAGAACCTAGAGACAGTGTCAACCTGATTTATAGTGCTTGGCAGGGGCTTGCAGTGGAGAAGGCTTGGAGCAGTCTCTTGAGTAGCAGACGGTGATTGTGAGCATTTACAATGTGCTGTGCTGTATGATGTGGCTCTGGGCTGGCTGCCTATCTATCCACTGATGCAATCACTTCACAATCAGCAGTCTTATAGGTTTGTCAGGGAGAAATTCAATAAAACTTGCAGTGCTGTGTTCACTAGCTAGCACAGCACATCAAGATGCTCTTTTAATTTGTTATATATAAACTCACATGATGGTTTCTATATTGTACTCCCGTCACTTGTACTTGAGATGCTGGTTGTAGTTTTCAAAGAAAGCAAATGGGTTACAGCATAAACATTGCTTTGGCAGGATTGATTGAATTCAGCACAAATTCAGTCACTCAGTCTCTCTCTCCTGAACTTTGCCTTGTGCGTTATCAGATTGAGTCTCCTCAGCTGATTTCACTGCCTTCAGACCTCTTAGAGGGAGGGATACACTTTGTGGTGGGGTAATCTGATACTAGACCTGTGATTACCTCAAGATGAAAAGAAAGGAGCCCCATTTAGCTCTTGTGTTATCTGAAGTGGTCCCAGGTCATAAAAGTGCATGTTTGATGGCCTGTCATTTCTTATGGATTCTGTAGGAAAATGGTAGTGGTGATTAAACCTGTTTAGTATAAGGATTGGGGTTGTGGTTAGCGGTCATGTTGTTTCTATGAAGAGATTCTTCCACTCAGCTATCAGCCCAGAATATCTCTATCTCTCAATATGGGGCAACAGTGTGAGTTAGTTGGTGACACTCTCTTAAATGTGTTGCAGTTCTCTGACTTGCTCCCTCGACAGATCCTAACATGTCCACGGTGGTTTGACATATTCATGAAAACGTATTGGACTTTGAAGCTCTTTGTTTGTGACACTGTGAATGTTGTCTGTATCGATGGTAAAATATCAAACTAATTCATCGTCCTTATCAACTACAGATAGTGGTACGATATGATCACATCTGAAAATAATATATCATGGATTAGGTGATATCTTTGTGTGTGTGTGTGGGGGGTTTTCCAGGCCTCATCCAGAGGGATGATGGTTCTATGGAGGAGGAGCTGGGGGAGTTGAGGCGTAGTCGCCCCAAACCACCAGTGGGAGGAGACTTCACCCTCAGCGACTGTTTCTACTTCTACAGACGAGGCATCGAGGACATCGTAGAGGATGAGGTGAGATCACACACTAGAATAAGATTGATGCCTAATTCCAAATGTACCCCTAACCCCTAATCCTAGACATTTCATGATGGCCCCTAGTAAATCTGAGCAATACAGTAATACCTAACCCTCTGGTAGGCTAGGATGAGTTTCCTATTTATTGCCTTTACTGCACACATATCCAGTCCTTTCAAATCAATTAAGGATGTGTTTAGGGCCAGGGGTTGATTCAGGATTGGGCAAAACAGTACAACATCTATTAAAAGTCCAGACTTTCTTTCTGTCCAGGTAGGACTACATTGTTTGTAATGTTGTTCCTCTGATCTCAAGGTGACCCAGCGGTTTTCATCAGAGGAGCTGGTGTCGTGGAACCTGCTGACTCGGACCAACATCGACTTCCAGTACATCAGCCTCAAACTGACCATGGTTTGGGGACTGGGTGTGTTCATACGCTACTGCATCCTGGCTCCATTCAGGTAACACCTAGGAGTGTGAAATCATTCATCATCACTGTGTTCCCCTATAGTAAGGCCTCAGCTCTCTTACAGTTCACATCCCTGAACCAAACATACCTGCCATGCACCAGTAATATTAAATGCAGTGCTTACCACAAATAATCCAGCTAGTGGCTGAATAGACAGGATTCATAACCAACCAATATCAATAGTGTGGAGCACAGGAGGCTGCTGAGGGGAAAACGGCTCATAATAATGGCCGGAACAGAGCAAATGGAATGGCATCAAACACCTGGAAACCATGTGTTTGATGTATTTGTTACCATTCCTCTCCAGTAATTACCACGAGCCAGTTCTCCACAATTAAGGTGCTACCAACCTCCTGTGGAGTGTTGTGTAGTAGACAATTCATTTGTTGTCTCATGACCAGCATAATGTTGTAGTGTCATGTATGTTCATGAGTGAGAATGTTTTCTTTCAGGATCACGCTGGCGTCTATAGGCCTGACCTGGCTGGTGATAGGAACCACTGCTGTAGGATTCCTACCCAACTGGAGGTACAGTTACACTGCTTTTAATCTACAGGTTCACACAGGATTATTTAAAAGACTGAGACATTCCTCTCGTCATTGTGTTTGTCATCTTCAAGGTAGCATCTTGTGTGTGTGTGTTTTGTAGGCTGAAGTACTGGCTGAGCGATTGGGTCCATGTGATGTGCTACAGGATCTGTGCCAGAGGCCTCTCCTGCACCATCCACTACTATAACAAGTCGGTTAACTGTCCTCTCCTCTCACATCGATACTCAGCAGGCTATCACACACCATCCTGTCCCCCAGTGACCCTACTGTTGGTCCTCGTGATGTGTGCAGAGAGATTGTTTTCAATGTAAGATGCACGTCTTTCACTTTAACGTGTGTGTGTGGCCTTTATCTTGTTTTACAGAGAAAACAGACCCAGAAAAGGAGGAATCTGTGTGGCCAATCACACCTCCCCGATTGATATCATGATTCTCTGCAACGACGGGTGTTACGCCATGGTATGTAAAACAAAGCAGACATTAAGCCTCACTTTAAATGGCTGAACTGTGTGAAAGTTGTTGATTGACACTCAATTGACTGCTTTCTCTCTGTGTAGCCTGTTTTTATTTTGTACACATTTTATTCATTTTTGTATAACTTACACATTTATCTGTGCCAATTTACTACTTTATACTTCTTTAATCCTAATCAGGTGAATTGTCTGTGAAAGGTATTATGAGGACGTTAGATGTGATTTGATCTGATGTGTTTTAGGTGGGCCAGTCGCATGGTGGTCTGATGGGAGTGCTGCAGAGGGCCATGGCCAGGTCCTGTCCTCACATCTGGTTTGAGAGAGCTGATATGAAAGATCGCCACCTAGTGGCCAAGAGGTGAGCTTACCTGTTCACTGTTAACAGACAGTGGGTTGGGCATGTTCTTGGCGCCAGACACTGGTATTCCTACCTCTACCTACAATGTTCAGACAAGCACTGACATGCCCATTGAAAATTGCTACAGCAAATAATCAGTCATATCATAGGTATTCACTTATCTCATCATAATTCCTCATCCTGATAATGTACTCCAGCCAGACAGATTACTTACAGTATGTTCTCTGCTTTACAAGTGCTTGTCAGAAAATGAACTCTAGCACATTCATGCACAAATGTATTAGTCACAAGTCATTGCCGTTGACAATTAGGGATATAATTTAACACTGACATTTTCTCAAATGGACATACATTATAGTTCCAGTTGGAGCTATGTTCATACTCCTCCCAGATATAAAGTTAGGTTTTCTAACGGTTGTTAATGTTTACAGGTTGACGGATCACGTGAATGACAAGACAAAGCTTCCTATATTGATCTTTCCAGAAGGTGGGTTACATTTTGTTTGGATAGTCCATCTGTAGATGCTCTACATTCTATCAGCAACAGTTAAACTATCTACTAACCCTAACCCTAGCTCTGACCTTAACCCTAAACGTAACCCTTACCCTTATTCTAACCCTAGCAAGCAGTTGCTTATCAACAGATAGTTTGTTGTTAGTTTGACCATCTGTAGAGTATCTACAGATGGATAATCCAGAGTATCCAAATAAAGTGTGACCGGTAAGTGCTACAATGGCCCAAATGGATTAGGATGAAGTTGCCCTTAGACACTGATCTAAGCCAAGGTCAGTTTTGCATTGGTTAGGATAAACTGCATTGGGGTTGCTATATATATATATATATATATATATATATATATATATATATATATATATATATATATATATATATATATATATATATATATACACAGTGAGGAGAACAAGTATTTGATACACTGCCAATTTTGCAGGTTTTCCTACTTACAAAGCATGTAGAGGTCTGTAATTTTTATCATAGGTACACTTCAACTGTGAGAGACAGAATCTAAAACAAAAATCCAGAAAATCACATTGTATGATTTTTAAGTCATTAATTTGCATTTTATTGCATGACATAAGTATTTGATACATCAGAAAAGCAGAACTTAATATTTGGTACAGAAACCTTTGTTTGCAATTACAGAGATCATACGTTTCCTGTAGGTCTTGACCAGGTTTGCACACACTGCAGCAGGGATTTTGGCCCACTCCTCCATACAGACCTTCTCCAGATCCTTCAGGTTTCGGGGCTGTCGCTGGGCAATACGGACTTTCAGCTCCCTCCAAAGATTTTCTATTGGGTTCAGGTCTGGAGACTGGCAGGCCACTCCAGGACCTAGAGATGCTTCTTACGGAGCCACTCCTTAGTTGCCCTGGCTGTGTGTTTTGGGTCGTTGTCATGCTGGAAGACCCAGCCACGACCCATCTTCAATGCTCTTACTGAGGGAAGGAGGTTGTTGGCCAAGATCTCGCGATACATGGCCCCATCCATCCTCCCCTCAATACGGTGCAGTCGTCCTGTCCCCTTAGCAGAAAAGCATCCCCAAAGAATGATGTTTCCACCTCCATGCTTCACGGTTGGGATGGTGTTCTTCGGGTTGTACTCATCCTTATTCTTCCTCCAAACACGGCGAGTGTTTAGATCAAAAAGCTCTATTTTTGTCTCATCAGACCACATGACCTTCTCCCATTCCTCCTCTGGATCATCCAGATGGTCATTGGCAAACTTCAGACGGGCCTGGACATGCACTGGCTTGAGCAGGGGGACCTTGCGTGCGCTGCAGGATTTTAATCCATGACGGTGTAGTGTGTTACTAATGGTTTTCTTTGAGACTGTGGTCCCAGCTCTCTTCAAGTCATTGACCAGGTCCTGCCGTGTAGTTCTGGGCTGATCCCTCACCTTCCTCATGATCATTGATGCCCCACGAGGTGAGATCTTGCATGGAGCCCCAGACCGAAGGTGATTGACCGTCATCTTGAACTTCTTCCATTTTCTAATAATTGCACCAACAGTTGTTGCCTTCTCACCAAGCTGCTTGCCTATTGTCCTGTAGCCCATCCCAGCCTTGTGCAGGTCTACAATTTTATCCCTGATGTCCTTACACAGCTCTCTGTTCTTGGCCATTGTGGAGAGGTTGGAGTCTGTTTGATTGAGTGTGTGGACAGGTGTCTTTTATACAGGTAACGAGTTCAAAGAGGTGCAGTTAATACAGGTAATGAGTGGAGAACAGGAGGGCTTCTTAAAGAAAAACTAACAGGTCAGTGAGAGACGGAATTCTTACTGGTTGGTAGGTGATCAAATACTTATGTCATGCAATAAAATGCAAATTAATGACTTAAAAATCATACAATGTGATTTTCTGGATTTTTGTTTTAGATTCTGTCTCTCACAGTTGAAGTGTACCTATGATAAAAATTACAGACCTCTACATGCTTTTTAAGTAGGAAAACTGCAAAATCGGCAGTGTATCAAATACTTGTTCTCCCCACTGTATGTAAGTTCCCTGTATGTATAGCATATACAGGGACTTGCAATTTTCACCCTTCTCTGTCATTTTGGAGAGCATTGTTTTTATCATAGGATTTCTATCTTTATACTGTATGTCTGTGGTGATTGTGGCTTATCTCCAGTCCATATTTCTGGTGTCTTCAGGGACCTGTATCAACAACACATCTGTCATGATGTTCAAAAAGGGAAGTTTTGAAATCGGAGGGACAATATACCCAGTAGCCATAAAGGTAAGGCGTCAATATCAGGGCTTCTGTTCAGTAGTTGACTTTTACCTAAATCACAGAAAAATGGCATTGGGAAAGTTTCATTTAAAAAAGTTGGCACAGCTTTTGAAGAGGTGTTTTGTCAACTCTGGGACCGTCTCCCTCCCTCAGTATGACCCTCAGTTTGGGGATGCATTCTGGAACAGTGCCAAGTACAACATGGTGAGCTACCTGCTGAGGATGATGACCAGCTGGGCTATAGTCTGCAACGTCTGGTACCTGCCAGCCATGACCCAACAGGTGTGTATGCAACACACACACACACAAACAAACAAACAAACAAACCTGCCAGCCATGCACCAAGTGCCACTGACCTATTTCCTATTTTCACAGGAAGGGGAGGATGCTGTCCAGTTTGCCAACAGAGTCAAGTCTGCAATCGCACATCAGGGGGGACTAGTGGACCTGTCCTGGTAAGAATATCCTTCCGTCCTTCTATAAGGATTTTCTGATAATTCACTAGAGCCTAGGCATAAACATTTGACAGCCTAACTGCCTCACACTGGACTGTATTTGACCTAGGCAGTGAATGGGATTGTTTCGCTTGAGTGTGTTTTGTAATCTTGTGTATTTGTATTATGTTGTATTTGTAAATTGTGTATATGCAGGGCTCCCTTGTAAAAGAGACCTTGGTCTCAATGGGACTCCTTGCTAAAATAAAGGTGAAACAAAACAAAAAAAGGCACGCATAATTTCCGTAGTTTCTCTTGAGCACAGATATGTTTGTTTCCTAGAGAACATACATTCTTAGAGAACATGGGTCCTGTGTGGCTCAGTTGGTAGAGCATTGGCGCTTGCAACGCCAGAGTTGTGGGTTCGATTCCCACAGGGGACCAGTTTGGAAAAAGTATGAAAACTGTAAGTCGCTCTGGAGAAGAGCGTCTGCTAAATGACTAAAATGTAAATGTTTGTTCCCGTGTAGGGATGGGGGCCTGAAGAGGGCCAAGGTGAAGGATGTGTATAAAGAGGAGCAGCAGAAGATGTACAGCAGCATGGTGGTTGGGAGTGAGGAGGACAACAGCAGTCACAGCGACTGACACCTTCCACTACCACATGAAAGGGGCCCCTGGGAGTATGGACAGGAGCTGGCCATCCCTGCCTGACGACTGACTGACTACTACCAACGACCACGGACTAGACTGCCATTGTGTGGATGGACCATTCAGTGCTGTAACATTTACAGTGTCTTGCAGACTGTAGGATAACTGATAAGCCAATGGCATTACAATGGAAGGACTATGACGACACTAGTGCAATGGAACTGTAAAGGAGATGAGGTGGCAGGTCCAATTGGAATAGCTCTTTATTGTGCTGCTATAAAAAAAACGGTTCTAATTCTCTGCTAAAAAATGACTATGAAATCCTGTGTTTGGCATTCGAATAGTCCAATTGTGACTGTATAGCCTTTTTGTTGTTTAATCCCAAAGTTCTGAATGTCCGAAAGTTTTGTTGTGCGTATATGATGACTGTTTCTTTTTTGTCCGAATGTTTTAAAAGTTTTTTTCTTTTTCTGTACATTCAGAGCCAGTAGATCAATCATGTCGATCAATTTTTCCTGCTAAACATTTGGAAATAAACATTTGCCTTCAGCTGTTCCCTCTTTTTTAGTGATGTGTTTATTAACAAGCTAAGCTACTTGAACAAGGTAGTCAGAATCAGAAAAACACTGTCAATTGATGATTTGAAATGTTTTATATACAGTACTGTGACTAGTGTTGCACGTATACCACGGTACCAAAACGATACTTATGATACCAACATTTTAGAATACCCTAGTACCATTTAATATGATACTACCAACTTCTTCAGCCCTACCGATCTAAAGAACCTGCTAGTGCCTGTTATAAAATGTTTATAAAGTCAGTTGAATTTAAGCAACAGCCACTAGTCTCTTGCATGAGCATGTCATGTCACGTGTGGCAGCTGTAATCAACCAGCTCTATCAGTGTTGCCAACTTAGCAACTTTGTCGCTATATTTAGCGAGTTTTCAGACCCCTCTAGCGACACACTTTCAAAAAAGCGACTAGCGACAAATCTAGCGACTTTTTCTGGTGTTATTGGAGACTTTTGGAGACTCTGACGTGAAAGCACGTATCGTTCTTACTCTTCTCAACGAGCAGCGGATGTTGCCGTGGGCCCCACCCAGCGGGTGTTGCCGTGGGCCCCACCCCCGTCCCAAAGCACTCACAGGCGGCCCAGTCCTCGCGCTGCAGTCAGAGCAGGTGATGTTCACCTCTCCGTGTCCAGACTGCAAATGAATCGCGCATGCGGGAAGCCGCCGCTGGCTGATCCCGCCCTGGCTTACATTCAGGGCGGGATGTAAATGTAGGGTGTTTTTTACTCACTTTTTGTCTCTCCCACAACGTTATTCCTCTCTCCTACAGTGTCCATCACAATTACATGCACATGGCCAATTATGCAAATTAGGTGATGCCATCATTTAGCGACTTTTAGGACAGCCAATAGCTACTTTTCTTACCGAGGAGTTGGCAACACTGGCGTCTATTCCTCCGTCAGTTAAAAAATATACAGTGGAGAAAAAAAGTATTTAGTCAAATCAAATCAAATCAAATTTTATTGGTCACATGCACCGAATACAACAGGTGCAGACATTACAGTGAAATGCTTACTTACAGCCCTTAACCAACAGTGCATTTATTTTAAACAAAAAAAGTGTTGAGAAAAAAAAGAGCAGAAGTAAAATAAAGTGACAGTAGGGAGGCTATATATACAGGGGGGTACCGTTGTAGAGTCAATGTGCGGGGGCACCGGCTAGTTGAGGTAGTTGAGGTAATATGTACATGTGGGTAGAGTTAAAGTGACTATGCATAAATACTTAACAGAGTAGCAGCAGCGTAAAAAGGATGGGGTGGGGGGGGCAGTGCAAATAGTCCGGGTAGCCATGATTAGCTGTTCAGGAGTCTTATGGCTTGGGGGTAGAAGCTGTTGAGAAGTCTTTTGGACCTAGACTTGGCACTCCGGTACCGCTTGCCGTGCGGTAGCAGAGAGAACAGTCTATGACTAGGGTGGCTGGAGTCTTTGACAATTTTGAGGGCCTTCCTCTGACACCGCCTGGTATAGAGGTCCTGGATGGCAGGAAGCTTTGCCCCAGTGATGTACTGGGCCGTACGCACTACCCTCTGTAGTGCCTTGCGGTCGGAGGCCAAGCAGTTGCCATACCAGGCGGTGATGCAACCAGTCAGGATGCTCTCGATGGTGCAGCTGTAGAATTTTTTGAGGATCTGAGGACCCATGCCAAATATTTTTAGTCTCCTGAGGGGGAATAGGCTTTGTCGTGCCCTCTTCACGACTGTCTTGGTGTGTTTGGACCATGATAGTTCGTTGGTGATGTGGACACCAAGGAACTTGAAGCTCTCAACCTGTTCCACTACAGCCCCGTCGATGAGAATGGGGGCGTGCTCAGTCCTATTTTTTTTCCTGTAGTCCACAATCATCTCCTTTGTCTTGGTCACGTTGAGGGAGAGGTTGTTGTCCTGGCACCACACGGCCAGATCTCTGACCTCCTCCCTATAGGCTGTCTCATCGTTGTCGGTGATCAGGCCTACCACTGTTGTGTCGTCGGCAAACTTAATGATGGTGTTGGAGTCGTGCCTGGCCATGCAGTCATAGGTGAACAGAGAGTACAGGAGGGGACTGAGCACGCACCCCTGAGGGGCCCCCGTGTTGAGGATCAGTGTGGCAGATGTGTTGTTACCTACCCTTACCACCTGGGGTAAGTCCAGGATCCAGTTGCAGAGGGAGGTGTTTAGTCCCAGGATCCTTAGCTTAGTGATGAGCTTAGAGGGCACTATGGTGTTGAATGCTGAGCTGTAGTCAATGAATAGCATTCTCACGTAGGTGTTCCTCTTGTCCAGGTGGGAAAGGGCAGTGTGGAGTGCGATAGAGATTGCATCATCTGTGGATCTGTTGGGGCGGTATGCAAATTGGAGTGGGTCTAGGGTTTCTGGGATAATGCTGTTGATGTGAGCCATGACCAGCCTTTCAAAGCACTTCATGGCTACAGACGTCAGTGCTACGGGTCGGTAGTCATTTAGGCAGGTTATCTTAGAGTCCTTGGGCACGGGGACTATGGTGGTCTGCTTGAAACATGTTGGTATTACAGACTCAGTCAGGGACATGTTGAAAATGTCAGTGAAGACACTTGCCAGTTGGTCAGCACATGCTTGGAGTACACGTCCTGGTAATCCGTCTGGCCCTGCGGCCTTGTGAATGTTGACCTGCTTAAAAGTCTTACTCACATCGGCTACGGAGAGCGTGATCACATAGTCATCCGGAACAGCTGGTGCTCTCATGCATGCTTCAGTGTTGCTTGCCTCGAAGCGAGCATAGAAGTGGTTTAGCTCGTCTGGTAGGCTTGTGTCACTGGGCAGCTCGCGGCTGTGCTTCCCTTTGTAGTCTGTAATAGTTTTCAAGCCCTGCCACATCCGACGAGCGTCAGAGCCAGTGTAGTATGATTCAATCTTAGACCTGTATTGACTCTTTGCCTGTTTGATGGTTCGTCGGAGGTCATAGCGGGATTTCTTATAAGCGTCCGGGTTAGAGTCCCGTTCCTTGAAAGCGGCAGCTCTACCCTTTAGCTCAGTGCGGATGTTTCCTGTAATCCATGGCTTCTGGTTGGGGTATGTACGTACGGTCACTGTGGGGACGACATCATCGATGCACTTATTGATGAAGCCAGTGACTTATGTGGTGTACTCCTCAATGCTGTCTGAAGAATCCCGGAACATGTTCCAGTCTGTGCTAGCAAAACAGTCCTGTAGCTTAGCATCTGCGTCATCTGACCACTTTTTTATTAACCGAGTCACTGGTGCTTCCTGCTTTAGTTTTTGCTTATAAGCAGGAATCAGGAGCCACCAATTGTGCAAGTTCTCCCACTTAAAAAGATGAGAGAGGCCTGTAATTTTCATCATAGGTACACGTCAACTATGACAGACAAATTTAGGAAAAAAATCCAGAAAATCACATTGTAGGATTTTTTATGAATTTATTTGCAAATTATGGTGGAAAATAAGTATTTGGTCACCTACAAACAAGCAAGATTTCTGGCTCTCACAGACCTGTAACTTCTTCTTTAAGAGGCTCCTCTGTCCTCCACTCATTACCGGTATTAATGGCACCTGTTTGAACTTGTTATCAGTATAAAAGACACCTGTCCACAACCTCAAACAGTCACACTCCAAACTCCACTATGGCCAAGACCAAAGAGCTGTCAAAGGACACCAGAAACAAAATTGTAGACCTGCACCAGGCTGGGAAGACTGAATCTGCAATAGGTAAGCAGCTTGGTTTGAAGAAATCAACTGTGGGAGCAATTATTAGGAAATGGAAGACATACAAGACCACTGATAATCTCCCTCGATCTGGGGCTCCACGCAAGATCTCACCCCGTGGGGTCAAAATGATCACAAGAACGGTGAGCAAAAATCCCAGAACCACACGGGGGGACCTAGTGAATGACCTGCAGAGAGCTGGGACCAAAGTAACAAAGCCTACCATCAGTAACACACTACGCCGCCAGGGACTCAAATCCTGCAGTGCCAGATGTGTCCCCCTGCTTAAGCCAGTACATGTCCAGGCCCGTCTGAAGTTTGCTAGAGTGCATTTGGATGATCCAGAAGAGGATTGGGAGAATGTCATATGGTCAGATGAAACCAAAATATAACTTTTTGGTAAAAACTCAACGTGTTTGGAGGACAAAGAATGCTGAGTTGCATCCAAAGAACACCATACCTACTGTGAAGCATGGGGGTGGAAACATCATAATTTGGGGCTGTTTTTCTGCAAAGGGACCAGGACGACTGATCCGTGTAAAGGAAAGAATGAATGGGGCCATGTATCGTGAGATTTTGAGTGAAAACCTCCTTCCATCAGCAAGGGCATTGAAGATGAAACGTGGCTGGGTCTTTCAGCATGACAATGATCCCAAACACACCGCCCGGGCAACGAAGGAGTGGCTTCGTAAGAAGCATTTCAAGGTCCTGGAGTGGCCTAGCCAGTCTCCAGATCTCAACC